CCTAACCCCAGCCCAGACCACTGGTGTAGTTCCAATGTAGAAGGAAGAATGCCACCTATTGATTCACCAACGTCACTTCCTACAATCTCCATGGATTTCCTTTGACGGTCTGACATCCAAGAACTTACCAGTCTTAATGCTGCTTAGTTTCTGAGATCCCAATCCTAGCTATTACGGCTGCAAGTTGATGCCTTATGAAAGAAATAAGAAATCTGCCAGTAAAGCATTTGATTTAATACATGTGTGACTGTCTGAGGACTCCCAGAGATCACTGCTCCTGTCTTCCCTGCCATTCATCCAGTGTCGCAGGACTTTGTGCAGATGTGAATCCTTTGGCAGAGGCCTGCGTGTGAAATCTTTTAACGGGAAACCAGTGCACAGGCAGTACCCACACGAAACTTGACAGGAGGAAAACCCTGACCCAGTGGCAAGGAGCTCCAAGACAACCGGGGCCTCCATCCTGCTGCAACCCTCATCTGCCTTCACAGCTGCAGAGTACTAGAAGTTCCTCTATGTGCACCCGATCCACCTTTGGGGTCTTTTGAAGTTTGGACCACGGTTAGTCAGGGGCCTCGCCTCAAACCTGCTCGTCAAGGGGGACCCTACCCGGAGTATAAAAGCTCCAGACAATATAGCTCTGAGGCTCTTTAGCCCATGCAAGCCTCTCCACCACAACAAAGTTGCGGTCCATCAGAGAGCAACACCAGGAACTGCTCATGGCATTCATTGACCTAACCAAGGCCTTTGACTCTACCAATCGTGATGCCCTGTGGAAGGTGCTGTGTAGGTTTGGCTGTCCACAGAAATTCATTTCCATCATCAGACTACTCCACGATGGGATGACTGACACCATTCTGTGCAACGGCTCAGAGATCGAACCACTCATCATTCACACTGGTGTCAAGCAGGGCTGTGTCATTGCTCCAACATTCTTCTCCATTTACCTTGCCGTGATCCTGATTCTCATTTGCGACCACCTTCCTGACGGAATCAGGATTGAGTATCATATGGATGACCAATTGCTCAATCTTCGACGTCTCCAAACAAAATCTAAGATCACGAGAATTGGCAGTATGAAGATGACTGTGTCATTCTTGCATACACAGAGGCCGACCTGCAAAGTACCCGAAACCTTTTTGCAGATGCCTATCACAGCCTAGGTCTCTCTCTCAACATCGGGAAAACCAAGGTACTCTACCAGCCCTCACCTGCACAAACTACTCTTCGTACTCCACAAATCACCATCAGCAGAGAACCCCTGGAAAATGTGGACCATTTTCCGTACTTTGGCAGCCACCTCTCCCAAACAGCCAACATTTGACACAGAAATTGAATACAGGATCTGCTGTGCCAGCACATCTTTTGGAAGACCACTCAAATGCGTCTCCAATTATAGGGATCTGCAAACAGGTACCAAGATCCTGGTTTTCAAGGCAGTTGTCATCCTCACCCTTCTCTATGGGTGTGAGACCTGGGTAACCTACAGACGACATCTCAAGCAGCTGGAGTGGTTCCAGCAGCACAGCCTCAGGAGGATTCTCAGGATCAGCTGGGAAAACAGACACACTGACATCAACGTTCTCTCTGCAGCCAATATCAGCGGTATAGAAGCGCAGGTCATGAAACACCAACTCCACTGGGCTGGCCACTGTGTACATATGCCTGACACTCACCTCCCGAAGCAACTACTCTTCTCTCAGTTAAGTCAGGGAAGAAGGGCTCGTGGAGGGCAGCAGAAGCGTTTCAAAGACATACTGAAAGTACGCCTCAAAAAGGGAGGCATCAACCCAACAACCTGGGAGGACTCGGCGCGGAACAGAACACAGTGGCGCCACAACATACGCTAAGCCACAGCTCACTTTGAGGAGAACAGACGTGCTCATGAGACAGAGAAGAGACAAAGGAGGAAAGAAAGGGCACAACACTCCAGCCAACAACTATGTCTCCTCCAAAATTACACCTGCCACTTCTGTGGGAAAATCTGCAAGGCAAGAATTGGGCTCCTCAGCCCCTTAAAAATTCACCAATGAACCCCTTTGATTGACATCATCCTCGTATCGAGGGATAGCCAAAGAAGACTGTCTGAGGGTATGTCTACATTACAGCTGTGCTGCTGCTGTAGACAGAAGGGGTTTTTCCATCGAGGTAGGTAGTCCACATCTCCAAGAGGCCGTAGCTACGTTGATAGAATCATAGAATCATATACTGGGTCTGGAAGGGACCTCGAGAGGTCATCTAGTCCAGTCCCCTGCACTCAAGGCAGGACTAAGTATTATCTAGACCATCTCTGAGAGGTGTTTGTCTAACCTGTTCTTAAAAATCTCCAATGATGGAGATTCCACAACCTCCCTAGGCAATTTATTCCAGTGCTTAACCACCCTGACAGTTAGAAGTTTTTCCTAATGTCCAGTCTAAACCTCCTTTGCTGCAATTTAAGCCCATTGCTTCTTGTCCTATCCTCAGAGGTTAAAAAGAACAATTCTTCTCCCTCCTCCTTGTAACAACCTTTTATTTGCTTGAAAACTGTTATCATGTCCCCTCTCAGTCTTCTCTTTTCCAGACTAAACAAACCCAATTTTTTCAATCTTCCCTCAAAGGTCATGGTTTTTTTAGACCTTTAATCATTTTTGTTACTCTTCTCTGGACTCTTTCCAATTTGTCCACATCTTTCCTGAAATGTGGCACCCAGAACTGGACACAATACTCCAGTTGAGGCCTAATCAGCACGGAGTAGAGCAGAAGAATTACTTCTCGTGTCTTGCTTACAACACTCCTGCTAATACATCCCAGAATGATGTTTGCTTTTTTTGCAACAGCGTTACACTGTTGGCTCACATTAAGCTTGTGGTCAACTATGACTCCCAGATCCCTTTCCGCAGTGCTCCTTCCTAGGCAGTCATTTCCCATTTTGTATGTGTGCGACTGATTGTTCCTTCCTAAATGAAGTACTTTGCATTTTTCCTTATTGAATTTCATCCTATTTACTTCAGACCATTTCTCCAGTCTGTCCAGATCATTTTGAATTTTAATCCTATCCTTCAAAGCACTTGCAACCCCTCCCAGCTTGGTATTGTCCGCAAACTTTATAAGTGTACTCTATGCCATTATCTAAATGATTGATGAAGATATTGAACAGAACCGGATCCAGATCTGGTCCCTGCGGGACCCCACTCATTATGCCCTTCCAGCATGACTGTGAACCACTGATAACTGATGGAAGAATCCTTCTGTCAACCTAGTTGCATCAACACCAGGGGTTACGTCGACCTACCTACGGCACTCAGGGCTCAAAATTTTTCACAGTCGTGAGCGACATAACAAAGTCAATCTAATTTGTAAGTGTAGACCAGGCCTGAGTCACAATCCTGTTGACAGCTGTTAATAATACTGCAGGTAAAACCAGCAGCAGGAGGATTTAGCCACATGATGTGATGCTATTATAAAATATTATCAAGTTAGCATCCTCATCAGAATGGACCCATGTTCAAGGATAATGCTGCTAAAAAGGACTCCCGGATTACCCACTTACATGCTATCTACCCTCAGGCTGAGCTGCTCGTCCTTTGAATGACCGTGTTTGGACACAGGGTATTTTAAGGTCTCGCTGCAGTGCAGTAGAATTTTTTTTGTTTACACACTCCAGCTTTTCAAAATAAACAGCTTCCCTTATATACGGCGCTGAGATGCTAGAGGGAGCTTGACATGGCTCTGTAACGGGATCTGAGCAGCAAGACAAAACTGCAGCGATTCTGTTTCTGGCCGGGCTCCTCACCCCGAAAGGTCTTGTCCGCAGTGATCTAAAGACAACACAACAAGCTAGCTCAGGTATACACCGCAAGGAAATGATGATTCGACCAGCCTGGCTACCTCGCAACAGCAAGCACAGGGATCAGCAGCAGTTGGGAACACTGGCGTGAGGGAGCCACTTGCATCACTCTGCAATGGTTCCTCCCCCAGCAGACCCAGAACTGTCCTGGTGGGGGCTGGAGGGAGCTGTGGCTGGGTCATACAAGGTGCTAACAGTCAAAGGGAAGCTGCATTCGAGATGGGGGGGGGGGGGAGGAAAATATCGGAGGACAGATCACAGGGGAGCTTGGAGGGCTTGCAGCATGAGCGTCAGGAGAAAAGGCCTTTCCTGTAACAGTACCTCGCTCTAGTTTTTAGAGCTATTGGACGACAAACCGGTCACCAGTATAGTGCTGAAGTCTGCTCAGCCTGGGGCTTGCTGAGGAAAATTCCACATTTGGGGGAAAGAAGAAAAGCTCTCTCTCTCTCTCTTTCTTGTTTGTCAGGTGGGTGAAGCTGCTCAAAGGGTTGGAATGTTAGAATAAGTCCTGGGAGACATGGATGGGAGGGAGAGCAGCTGAATTGGTCACAGAGGTATGATAAATGCAATTTATCCTATGGCTGTTACAATGGGGGTGTGTGTATGTGTGTGTGTATGCAGCGTAGACCTGAAGAAGAGCTCTGTGTGGCTCGAAAGTTTGTCTCTCACCCCAACAGAAGTTGGTCCAGTAAAAAATATTACCTCCCCCACCTTGGCTATGTGTGTGTGTGTGTATAGACCGATAGGTATGGGCTTTATATTTACCCAGTGTATTGTATTTTAAAATTCAGCCAAAATTTATTTATAGTGATATTTCTAGCCAGAGGCAAACAATATTACACCCCTTACTGTAGCCCCACCACTGGAAACAGTTGTAGGAAGAGTCATGAAACCCAAGAATCAGATTCCTAAACCCAATTGACAGATTCAAAGAAAAAAATATATAGCTGAGAAGAGGAGCTGTTTGCCTATTGCACCGATTTCTCCAGAGAACAGAAAGGAGATGGAGGTTGAACCCAACCTCTGTTTCAGGACATGGAAGCTGAGCTTCCATTTTAGCAGCTGCATTGAAACTCTAAGCCCAGGATCTAGGATGAAAGGCCACTGGCTGTGCATGCGTGTCTGTGACGGGGACGGAGGGCAGGCAAGGAGGAACTGGGCCGAAGGCAGCATCCTATAGCAGCACTAGTCCCACCACAGCAATCACCATGAGGATACCGGCAAGAATACAGATGCTAATGAAGACAATGTCACTAGTGTCCTGGCTCTTGCTCTCATAGGCCTCCACTGCTTCTGCATCCTGCCCGTGGGACTCTACCAGGTTCTCCGCATACTGGGTCAGCCGGTAGGGGTCAGAGCTCGAGATAAGGTTTACTGAGGCTTCTTTCCTCTTAGGCTCGCACTGCACTTCATATTCATGAATGTCCTCCTGGTTCCCAGCCGAGAAGTCGATATACAGGATACTGACAATCACAGACGTGTGGTTTCTTTTCTACAAGACAAGGTTTTTAAAGGGCAAGGGTTTGTTTTTACTTGTCAGCCTTACGAATTAATAAAAACTAAACCCCCAGAGTAACAAGTTTCAGGGCGTAGCCGGAGTTAGGTTCTTCACGGGAAAGGAGAGTTACAGGGTATTCATGGTATTTCATTGCCAGCAGCTTGAAAGCATGCACTGAGAACACGCATTGAGAACGCACATTGAGGGCAGGGGACTGGACTCGATGACCTCTCGAGGTCCCTTTCAGTCCTAGAGTCTATGAATCTATGAATAAGACAGGCCATGGGGCAGAAACCAGGTTGATCAAATTCCCTAGAAATAGAGAGCCTTATTTTCACAGGGGCGTTAATGAGAGCTGCAAGTGCTCAGCAACTCAACCATGTCAGGCCAACACCCACTGTAAAGGTTTGGGAGTTGGGACTTGTAGGTTCTGTTCCTGGCTCTGGCACTGACTTGCTGTGTGGGCCTAGGCAAGTGACTTGGGCCAAGTTTTTCCAAAAATGGCCACTGATTTTTGGGTTCCTCAGTTTTTTGGCTGTCCAGCACCTAGGTCCTGAGAATCCCAAACTCCAGCTGAAATCAACCGGAGTGACAGGACCTCAGCATCTCTGAATAAGACCCATGGAGCCGCATGTTGGATATCCAAAGTAAAGCACCCAGAATCAGTGACCCATCTATAAAGAGGTGGGCCTTTCTGTGCCTCAGTTTCCCCTTTCGTGAACTGGGGCTAGTTTACCATGGGCATAATGTTGAGAGACCAGAGGTGTGTCCAGTGCATGGAGTTCTTTGGATGCAGCAATGGTGGGGCTTGCTCAGGCCAGGCAGGGCTGCCAAAAGCATGTGCATAGTTTTTATCTGAGTAACTAAACGCTGGGTGCACAGTGCCCTCTGCCTCAGGCCTGCGTTCACGTGGGTTACAGTGACCCAACAGAACATATCCTAAATCAACTGTACAAAATTCTGACCTCGAGCAAGTCACTTCATCCATTATCCCCATTATACAGATGGGGCTAATAGTTCCTTTCTCGCAGACCCTTTCGGTACGTCTACACTGTGATAAAAGACTCGCAACAAGCCCAGGCTCAGGCTGTGGGGCTATAAAATTGCAATGTAGATGTTCAAGCTCAGGCTGGTGCTGGGGCTCTGAAACCCTGCAAGTGACTCCAGCCCAAGTACAAATTCTACACTGCTATTTTTAGCCCCATAACCTGGGCCCTGTGAGCCTGAGTCAGCTGACCCTGGCTCTGAAACTTGGTGCTGCAGGATTTTTCACCCCCTGCAGTGTAGATGTACCCTTAGTCTTGTATATTTGGATTGTAAGCTCTTCAGCAGACGGACTGTCTCTTACTATGCGTGCGTGCATGTGCATCATTAGACGCAGATTTGTTATCATCCTACTGTATTTGTTTTAGGTAAATAGGATTCACTCCTTATTATACTGATCACTTACCTGGGACTCAGTACCGCAGGTGTCGAACCTGGTGTGTATTTTAAAGTTCAGGCCAACCACTTGGGCAGGACAGGATGGGGTCCCTAAATAAATCTTATTTCTCTCCAGCTGGGCAAGAGACTGCACAGGAATCTGGATCTGGAAATCTGTTCGCGTGCAGCTGACGTTCACGGGAACAACTGTTGGGGGGGAAGAAAGAAGCTCGTCTAAAACTCACAAGACTGCACCGAGTGGGGATTTTCATCAGTACTGTGCAGTGCACAGTACAAGGCAGTTCCCATAGCTGAGAGTGGCACTGTCGCTATTGTCACCATGTCATACAAAGAAGACTACTAGTGGCATCCACAAGCAAGTGACCAATGTTGACAATGCTTACGGTTTTATTGTGAGTCTTCTGATATCTAGTGTTTTTCTTAAAGCCCCAGCTGCTGGAGTCAGGTGAGTATGTGAGAATTTCAGCTTCCATTAAAAAAAAAACTGTAAAGTTTCTAGTCCTCACAGTAGTGGAGAAGATCTTTAAAAGTGCATGATCTGAGTGTAACCTAAAGGCTCAGAAAGGAGAAGGCAAAGAAAAAGAACCCTACATTTATCATTTTTAAAAGTCTCATGAATTTTAAACCCAATCTCAGGATTTCTGGGGGCCTGACTCATGATTTTTGAACACTTGGGGCTAGCAAAATTCTGCATCAGCATCCATTGGGAACACAACAGGGTGTGTATTGGATCCCTTTGTTTTGGGATGCGATTCAGAGCACTTCTGACAATCTAGAAAAGCTTGACCATCCTGGGATCTGAAGAAGTGGTTTTTTACCCACGAAAGCTTATGCCCAAATAAATCTGTTAGTCTTTAAGGTGCCACCGGACTCCTTGTTGTTTTTATCCTGGGATCTAGTTATCCAAGATCCTGCCAATGCCACACATTTCAGACCGGTTTGTAACCCATTATTGGCACGCTTGGCTTTACACATGAATTGTGTCCGCACACCACATGGTTAATACTCTGGGCCTGGTTCTGCCAGCCCCCTTCCTGGGGGAGCAGTGGGGTGGGAAGGATGCCAGTCAAACTGGTCAGGTAAAGGCTGCATCCCACAAAGGGATCTGAGAGCACGTGCACAGCATTCTGCCTTCCTGTGCTCCCCATGGGGCAATGCAGCTCAGTGCCACCCCAAGGCAGGGTCATGGTAGTGTCTAATGTGCTCTCTAACCATATGTACCCCCTGCCTAGTGCAGCATAGGAATGTCTTCTTGTCACCAGCTGAGCACTGTTTTCTGCACTGATGAGGGAACCCTCTCCTCAGGCATGTCTATGTAACAGTTTGACCGGTCTGCCTTTCTCCCAGCTCTCTGTGGAATACTCTGGTCCCAGTGTAGACCCAACTCAGGCATAGTCTACACCTAAAACATAGGGCCACCTCGCTACATCATTCAAAATTTCATGCCCCGTGCGACATAGTTAGATCGACCTAAACCCCTGCTGTAGACACAGGTAGGTCGCCAGAAGAATTATTCCATCAACGTAGCTACCACCTCTTGGAGAGCTGGATTAAATGCATTGATGGAAAACCCCCTTCATCAGCGTAGGAAGCGTCTACACTACAGAGGCGCAGCTGCAGGGCCATAACTGCTATAGTGTAGACAGTCTATGCATGTAGTACATGGAGTTCTCAAAACATGGGAGTTTTACGGTTTCTGTTATAGACCCTGCTGGTCTACCTTGCAGCTGTGGGAAATGTTACACCCAGCACCAGCAAGTCAGCAGCTTTTCGGGAATGGAATCACTCAGTGAGTCAGGCACGGGTAGGAAGCACCACGTGGCTGAACAGCATGAAGCACGGGACTCGGAGCTAGGATCTTCTGCATTCTAATATTGGAATGGCCTTGAGTACATCAGTGTCCCCGGGCTCTACTCCTCCGTGTCCCCCACTCTAGAAAATGGGGTAACAATACCTACCTTGCAGGTGTTTTGAGAAGACAAATCAGGCGCTACAGTGAACTCTGATGATGTAAAATGCTAGGGGGCTGGTTCTTCATGGCCATGCACCTTGTGCAGTCACTGACCCCGGTACACTTTACTTTGCACTCGTGTAACTGCCTACCTGAGGAGCAGGGCAATGGAGAATCGGGCCCCCTAATCCATAGTTCTACGGAAAGTGTTGCATCTGTGTCTGCCTATATAGCAGCTGGCCTTTCTACATGGAGAAGACAAACATATAAACCACGTGGAAAAGGAAATAAGAACAAAAAACCCCATAATATTTAAAGGTACCTCCCACCGAGGCTTGGCCCAAACACTAACAATATGAATTATTGAATTATTCTAACTAACTCCGTTAGAATCAGACTCTTATGAAACTGATAAGATGCAATAAAATCAACAGGGAAAAAATTGTGTCACTTTACTACACTTAGTACATTATAGAACCATTAGAAGATTTACTAAATAACTAGAGTGCATTAAATCAAGGGGAGGAGAAAATGGATCCTCGCTCTCGAGTTGAAGGCTTCCTTTAAAATGACCATAAATCACATGGACAGCCCAACTCACATCCTTTCATGGGCCCAGCTAGACAGAAAAATATTTACGCTAATTACAAGAGCCTGATACAGCCCTGTCTCTGTATGTCATTTTATATACTTCACCCATTACCGCACTGAGCACACCATGGCATCTGGACTTCCACTGGGGCCTTTTCCTTACAGTCTCCTACTGTTCCACTGCCACTGAGGGAGCACCATTGGTGGCAGTATTAGTGTACTTGCCACCATGGGATCTAGCCCTGCTAGTGCAGACCAGGCTAATGAGAGCAGTTTCAAGCCTCTAGGGTGTTTGTTATGCATTGTCCATTAGTGTCAAGAGATCCCAAATCAGACTGGGTCCCAGCTGTGCTAACTGCTGTACATACACACAGTAAAAGACAGTTCCTGCCCCTTGTCATCTAAATAAACAAGGGATGCCAGATCACATGGGACACCCAAGAATCAAACCCAGTTTGCCAACAGCCCAGTCTAGTACCTTACTCACCAGACCACCCTTCCTCACTGGAGCCAGAGCAGAACACTTTACCATTTGAATCTCTACTCCAAAGAAAGAGTCAGTCCAAGGGAAACTTCACACAAGAAGCAATCCCAGGTTCCATCATGAAGATGGTCATCCTCCTTTGCAGCGGCTGTTTATGGAAGATTTGTACCACACAGACTGTTAACTGCAAGCAGATGTGTGCACACAGATCACTGGCAGGTGTAGGAAAGTAACATGCAGAGATAATTTGCTGAGGAAAACAGTGGTTTTACATTCTATTTTTTCCTTTCAAAATTTAACATTCATCATGTGGATCTATGCAACATGGGTCTAGCGGGATTCAGGAGACTTGGCTCCCTGCTCTGCCACTGACTTGCAGTATCACCTTGGGGGAGACACTTGACCTCTGCACCGGTTTCCTCCATCCCCTCCTCCACCTTTGTCTGTCTTGTCTACTTAGTCCCTGCCCTGAAAAGCTTACACTCTGTCACTCACTATGTGTATATACTGTGCTTAGCACAATGCAGCCCTGCTCTCCATGAGAGCTTCTGGATGCTACTGGAAATCAAACAATAAACCACATTGATTCTGAGGCGGGAGGCAGAATCACGGCATGGCTACACTACACAATTAGGCGATCTAATTTACGTCAGCAGACAGCCTTTCCAATAATGACATTGCTTGTGCGCGGCTACACTTTGTTCCTCCTGTTGGCGGTGCGCGTCCTCCCCAGAAGCGCTTGTGTCGATTGTATGGTCAGTGCGGGGCACTGCGGGACGGCTCCTGACAGCCAGTATCAGTCGACGTAAGCAACGCAGTGCGTGCACTGGCACTGCACCAACCTAACTACGTCAACATTGACTTGATGCCTCTCATGGAGGTGGAGTTAAAAGCGGGCTAGACTACGCTAGAAACGCTACAGTGCTGCAGCTGTGCCGCTGTAACACGTCTGGTGAAGATGTTCTAAGATGATGGGAGAGAGCTCTCCCGTTGGCATCATAAAATCACCTCCGTGAGAAGCAGTAGCTATGTCGGCGGGAGAAGCTCTCCTGCCAACACTGCGCTGTCCACACCAGCGCTTAGGTTGGTGTCACTTATGTCACTCAGGGGGATGGCTTATTCACATCTAGTGTTGCCAACCCTCCAGGATTGGCCTGGAGTCTCCAGGAATTAAAGATTAATCTTTAAAGTTTATGTCATGTGATGAAATCTCCAGGAATACATCTAACCAAAATGGGCAAGCCTTCTGAGCGATGTAAGTTATACCGACATAAGTGTATAAGCCTTCAGCGTAGCGGGCAGTTACGTCGGCAGGAGTGAAATTTTAGTGTAGTTGCTTCTATAGTTAGAGCGACATAAACTACTTGCATCAACCTAGCTCTGTAGCGTAGACTAGGCCTGTCATAACTATGAAGGGAAGGGTAACAGCTCTCTGTGTACAGAGAC